TTAGTAACAGTTTTCGATGTCGTGTTCAAGATCTTGATATAAAAAAAATCCTAATCCTCTGAAATAATTCCTCTGACTAACAAATTTATTAAGGTGCACCAAAAATTATAGAATTTGCAGTATGAATTAGAGGTCAAAAATAATTACTCGTGTAAAGAATCATCCAATTTTTAGAGATGATTATTTCTTAATTTTCGAGGTCATTGAATTTTATTTGACCATAACAGCCACACAAAGTGTGCAGGACAAAAGCTGTTACAGTTGCAGTCTTTATTTATCCATTCTCAGAATCCCGCACCAGCACTCACACTGTTGCTGTTGGCTGTGGCAAACATAGGTGCTGACGACCTCCAGCCTCGACTCGAACAAATACGGCAAGGTAATACGGGATTATGGTTGAACACACGTATAATATGGATGGTGCTGTGTCCCAACAAACACGAGAAGGTAATACGGGATTGTGGTTGACCGTACATATATATAGTAACGATACCGCATGCTAATACGGTCTAATTAAACGCTTTCCAGCGTCATACGACGTTCAATTTAACTGAAAAATCACCCTAATAAGTTAATTAATTGAGAAGGTTTGTAGTTTTCATATTAGTTTTGCCCCATAATTTTTCATCTCAATTGCAAAGCTCAAATCGAATCACTTGGAATGCCGTCATTGAAGGACTGACGGAGTTACGAACTCATTAGGGTAACATAGGGCAGCGAGCCCACTGCGGGTCATGGGCCCATAGCGGGTTTCTCGCTAAGTATGGCAGATATTGGTCCGTGTTCTCTACCGCCGGTCGACAGTTTCACTGGGCTAAATAAAGTGTGTGGCTCTACGTTTTGCTATAAGAGTTCGCGTTATTAAGTTACTCGCAAATAACTGTTTTAGGCCAGATAAAAGTGTTTTGCCGCTAAATAAAGCTGTTTTCGATTACTGTTATAAGGCTTTTGAAATTACTGTGAATTATATTTTGAAAGTAATATTTATAGGGATAATTTTGAATTCAAGTTTTGACTATAAGCTTTTAAAGTAAAATGTTGAACTATTTAATTATTCAGCTCAACTGTTGAATTATTCAGTTCAATAAATCAATTACTTTTATTGTGCCGCTGAATATGTATTTTGTATATTACCGCAGTAACATTTCTCCGTTCAATTTTCAATTTTAGTTTCAATTGAGTGACATGGCAGTTGTACCGTACAATTATCTATTTTGGTATTTATTTCTATTGTATTTAGAACATGCTACCCAAGCGCGTATTTTGATCGTTATTCTCACCTGCCATTAATGTTTTCCTCTAATTGTTCTTAATGATTTGATATCTATATATTTTTCTGGAAGTATACGATTGGAATTAATCTTTTGGGCTTCACTTCATTGCTTCATTTCGTCGGTATTAATTCGTTGCCGTTTATTTTTCCATCTATTGTTTGGCCTCCGTATTTTTACCGGCTCTGATTCTGTTCATAGTTATTCTTTTTAATGTCTTACAAAATATGTTTCAGCCAGATCTGACTCTTACCACATTTAATTATCTAATATTTCTCATCATACAAGGTTACTCCATTTAATAATATAATATTTGTCATCATACAGGTTACTCCATTCAATTATATAATATTTCTCATCATACTTAATGTTACTCCATTTAATTATATTAAATATATATTACTCCATTAGCAAGAGGTAGGTAGTAATGGTCAGCCTCTCTGTTTAAATTAGAAATGATGGTTTAAGATGGCCTGTAGTCAGACTCTGGTTTTGTGTTATTATATGAAAATCATTGCCCTGACAATTGATTTTGCGTCCGTATAGTTACATGTAAAAATTTTCCATTGAAAATCTCCTGCCAGTCATTGTTAGCTCTCCTGTTTTTCGCATATACTACAAGCGTAAAATTGCAGGAGAGCACAGCGCTTGCTTGCTATTCTGAGAGCATTCACCCTGTCGCTACCAGTCGTACATGAGTACGTAGTATATGTCGCCTTTAAAAATGTCGTTTTTTAGTTGATCTATGAAGTTCATTTGTACAATTGAACTAATATTCCGTTTCAATTTCAGAGCGCGCATTTAGCTGGTGGACACATAAGTCTCCTCTACATTTTTTTTTATTTACTCAATTTGCGCACTTTTATGGTTTAACAGTTTAATTGAAATGTAAATATCATGGTATCATCTTTTTTAATAGATGTGCACATACAGAAAAAAATGTAGATTATTTTGGACATATCAAAAATTTTTGTGTTGGTTTGAATAATACTTACACCGTGAAATTTATCGGACACAAGAAAATTAAAACGATTTCACAAAAGAATCTGAAGTAATCCATATAAAGAATATGAAGTAATCCAAATGAAGGTTTGTAGCATTTGTAAATGATATTCGTGTTCGCGATATAGCATACATATTAGCAAGTTAGACATACTGCTCTTACTTCTATTACTTCATACAGCCGACACTTCTATTTTCTATTCTATAATTTCCTTCAAACTTTGAAACCTCCCCTTCAGTTGAGGAAGACATCTCGTCTCACTGAGACGACTCGAGTCAGTATACCAGCTTTTTTGCATGACAGTAAAAAAGTTAATGGCTACCGCTGTTAATGGCTCTATTTTTTGACGACCACAAATCCTATCATGACGGATGTATCCTATGGGCTATAGTTTCATAAGTGTCAAGCAATTTTAACTGCGCTCGTTTGAACCAAGTCTACGATAACAATCATCAATAAGTCATGAATAATCAATGATTACCTTATATGTAGTCAAAAAGTCATAACTAATCAATGATTTATAGGTTTTAATGACTGACTATTCCTGATATGTGCTTCGGACAACTGACACTGGCCTGTCTGTATCACTTGATGCTCAACGAACTGAAGATAACGCCTTATACAAGCTGTTATTTCGGATCGCCCTTGTTAATGTATTATTGTCTTGTGTTAAGTCATTATCATCATACAGGTTGTTGAGCCCTGTTAGCTGTGGAACTTGTACATTATTTTTTATCATATCATATCATATCATATCATATCATATCATATCATATCATATCATATCATATCATATCATATCATAACATATCATATCATATCATATCATATCATGTCATATCATATCATATCACATCACATCACATCATATCATATCATATCATATCATATCATATCATATCATATCATGTCATATCATATCATATCATATCATATCATAACATATCATATCATATCATATCATATCTTATATCATATCATAATCATTCTAACCTTGTGACAATACAATTCAACCAACAAGCATGACAAGCTTATATATATTCTCGACACTGACCACACAATTTCACAATATGACTCGATTAAATAAATAAATGATATTTCTTTCTATTTTTCAGCAGTTCTATTTGTTTTTATCTGATTATCCAGTTTAAAAATTACATCTTAACCGAAACCGTAAATTTTAATAAATTATGATGATCACCTTGCAGTATTTTGAAAAAAATTGTTCAACAGTGTAAAAATTGTGAACATTTCCAAAATTATTATCAGGTAATTAAATAAATAAGTTTCCAAACTAATTAATATCAATTTCATTTCAGTCAGGAAAAAGACAAACAAAATCGGTAATGAGCGCCTATTTAAAAATATCAGTAACTATTGTTAATCCAATTGCATTTTCCACGTCAGCAACAAGTAAAGTAAGGCAAAAAATGTACCGTATTGTCAAGGAAAATTAAGAATTAATTAAAAAACTTGAAAGCAGACCAGGCCCGTGTAAATGTAGGGTTGCTTTCGCAAGCACCGTATAAAAGCAACCGCTGGAATTTTCCGATATATTCGGTAGCAGGAGCTTCAGTATATAACCGTCAGGGCTCCGGCTAGGCGGCCACCAAACTCTGCTTGAACACCGCAATGGCGAGTATATATTTCCTGTTAAATAATTTAAAAGAAAACGCAACGTAAGTTCAAAGGGAGTATAGTATATTTCCTGTTAAATACTTTCCACATCCTGTTCCATTTCAACATAGATTCCAAAAAATCAAAAATGTCGTTTTCTTTTGAATTCTTGATGTGCAATCTAAGAAGTCTGATGAAGTGAGTATTTTGTATTTTTTGTTCGAATATTTGGCTAAAATTTTATATAATTCAGAAAACTCACAGATATTTAAATTATAAAGTAGGAAAAACGATTGAAATTTCATTTTTGTTCCTCATTGAGCGAAAAATAAAAAACCAAACGCAAAGTGAAGGCAATGAAATAAAATTCAGTATAGAAATGATGTGATTCAAAACTTGAACTGTACATTGAATATTTTTATAGGGATACTGGCGACCTGTGAAAACTTATCAACTTCCAACAGTTTTTGCTTTATTTTAGCATTTTAATTTGTTTGCAGAAACCGTCTTCGGTAGGTTGTATAAAATGGAAAATATTGTAGAAGTTTTTGAGTTTTTGACATTCTGCGACGCCCAATTCTCCAGTCGAGAATTGGGCTTCCCAAGGCTCACGAAAGTTAAGTAAGACTAAAGTTAATTTTGCTGGGTGTTATTAATTGAATTGTTAATATGTTAATCCAACAAAAATATGAAACACGAACTTCTTATCACTCTCAGTAACAGTTTCAGGTATCGTGCCCAACATCTGATACATGTTAACCACATGCGACAAGCCTGAAATTATTTCAGACAAATTTTGGCCGCTGATTATGATTCAATTAGCACCAGAATATACAAATTCAGTATGCTCTCGAAAAATTCCCGAGACAAAAAATCTACTTACGTATATCAAATAATTACATTATTTGGTATACTTTTCCTATAGTTAAAATTAAAAAACTCCGTACTACAGGTCAACACGTGCAAAGAAACATCCGATCATTCAGATCGATGATTATTTCAAAATTTTTGAGGTCATTGAATGCAAAATCGATGTTAAAGCCATATAAAGTGTACAGTTAAAAGGCTGTAAAAGTTGCTGTTACCAATCTTTTACAGAATTTCGTATCAGCACTCACACTGTTGCTGTTGGCTGTGGCAAATATGGCTGCCGACGACCTCCAGCCTGAAGTCGAACAAATACAACAAGGTATATAGTACAGGGGCCATACTTTCAAAAAAAGTTAAGAAATCGTAAGTTCATCAGCCAATCATTGACGGCCTTTCAAGCAAAATCCACCAATCATAGACAAGAAAATAGAGCGTATAAGTCCTTACGTTCACTTAGCCAATTTTAAAATTATGGCCCCAGGATTGTAGTTGAACACACAGACAATATACCTGGAAGTGTGTCCTCTACAGTTTAAGAAATTAAAATCTGTGAAAATTTAAGAATTAAAGTAAAAATAAATTAATTACTAGTTCTTTATTCTAGACAATTGTCTTTCCCAGACAGCCAAAAGTTCCCTCTAGGTAAAAATTTAAAGGCATAGAATAGTCCACAAAAATTCATATCTTTATAGAAAACGTTTCGGAGACAAGCTCCATCGTCAGTTCGTAGAATCTAGAATCACAAATTAGAAGTCACAAATTAATACATTGACAGCACGGATCGAAATTGTTTTAATTCAATGTATTAATTTGCGACTTCTAATTTGGACTGACGATGGAGCTGGTCTCCGAAAGGTTTTATATAAAGATATGAATTTTTGTGGACTAATCTTTCCCTTTAAATTCTTAGTTAATTTGCGATTTAAGCAAACAAGTGACATCAATTCCCTGGAAGTTATATATAAAAAAAGTTATATGATTTTTCTCGCCGTATTTGCTCAGAGGGTCGGTTCCTGGTCGGACTTAAGGCAACGAGAACGTCGCTTTCGCTCGCCTTCTCGACCTCCACTCAGTCGTGTTTCCCACGTGAGTTCTGAAGTAAATTGAATACTTTTTAGAAATAAACAGGATGATGCATGAAAGAGCATTTCTCAAACGCATTATTGAATATCCTATACGATATGGCAAACGCCATCAGAACCTTGTGAACAAGATCAATTCAATTCAATTCAAGATGAATTATTTGGTATATATTTTATCGTGGTCACTACATTGCTGTACACGCGCATATTTTGATTATTTTATTAACTGCAAATAATGTTTGCACAATCTTTTTCTTATTGTATTGATATCTCTATTTATCTGTCTGAATGTTGTTAGCTGGAATTATTCTTTGGAGCTTTACTTAATAGGTTTATTTTATACGTTTTAATTCGTTGGCTTTTTTCCTTGTCTGTTGTTTGGACCCGTTTTTACCGGCTCTCATTTTGTTTACAATTATTACACAGAATTTCTTGTGAAAAATATTGCTGCAGTTTCTGATTCTGACCAAACATCTGTTTTTATTTATTCTAATAGATTGAATGATCTAAATCTAAAAGATACAAAAGAAACAATAGTCATTAATGCATACGACAGGTAACCAAATAGATGATAAGTTCATAAATCGGACCTACAATAATCTAACTTTAGAAGTGATCTCAAAATCCTTATATCACTTTGAAAAGAGTTGTTATATATAGATATACTTTATAGATAGGACTCTTATATCTATACTATAGAGATAGTAATATAGTCAGTGCTTAGCCTCTGGCTAGATCAAGTTTTTGCACAAAACTCATTGCGATTAATGTATTGATGAACAAAAGGTTAACATAGTTTTGCTTTTAGTTACAGCTACCACTACTACGATAACGGGCGGCCGCCGTCGTCGTCGTTCTGCAGGAAAACGGTTGGGAAAAAAGATGGCGGAACTACCTGTCATGGCGGCCGATGAACTCATCGGGTCTTTGTTAGAAGACTCCTTACCTATTCAAGACAGGGACGGGAAGTTCCTGAAACTCTTCCCGGCTTTAACTTTGAATTATATAACTCAGTCAACGACAACTATCGTTTCTGTATCAACGACCATCCTCAATGACCAGCAGTTCCTTTCCTTCTTCAATGGTCTCCCGAACGGCGTCTTCACGGCTTGCATTGCTGGATGAAAATGAAGGAAAGGATGAGGCCTTCGAGGGCGCAGCCGTAGGCCACGAATTTTACACTTAAATAAGCCCTGGAGCCATGCAGCGACTAGCTTCACCATGCATTAAATTTTCCGAGGCCTATACTTTCAAAAAAAAATTAGGAGATCGTATGTTCATCAGCCAATCATTGACGGCCTTTCAAGCCAAATCCAACAATCATATATAGACAAGAAAATAGAGCGTAAGTACTTACGTTCACTTAGCGAGCTTTGAAAGTATGGCCCCGATCTTTGGAGCTTTGGAACTTTGATCACATTATTTAACCACACAACTTGTGTCAACTAACCCGATCTTTTTGTTTTTCATTGACAGGATAAGGTACTAAGGTACAATTTAAGATGAATTGTGTTATGTTACCTTATCCTGCGAATGAAAAGCAATAAGATCGGGTTAGTTGACACAAGCTGTGTGGTTAAATAATGTCATCAAAGTTCCAAAGCTCCAAAGATCTGGAAAAGTTAATGCATGGTGAAGCTAGGCGCTGGCTCCAGGGCTTATTTATGTGTAAAATTCGTGGCCTACAGCTACGCCCTTAGGTACCTTAGGGTACGCACGCAGTGAAAACAGGTTTACCCGCGCGGGCAACCTGCTCCAACCTGCCACAAGAATGAACATAGGATAATAATGTAAGTGTTCACAGTGAAAACCTGTACGAATAGGCTTCTGTATGCTATGGTTTCAACCTGCCACAAGAATGAACATAGGATAATAATGTAAGTGTTCACAGTGAAAACCTGTACGAATAGGCTTCTGTATTCTATGGTTTCAGGCGCCAGCCTGAGCAGGTATAACTAGCACGCTGGCAAACCTGCTTTCACTGTGTGCGTACCCTTATATACTAAAGTTTTTTACTAAAAATACATGTAATTCAAGTTGCTTAAATTACCTCAAGTTTATTAGTTATATATTAATCTGCGCATATTGGTCTGGTTCATTAATCAATATATGACACTATTTCACTCATATATACCCATGAATAATGTTGCTGCAGCAGGGAAAATAGCTACGAATATATTATCTCATTATGTTTCGTACTTTCAATGTCTCAATATCATGGAATATATATATGAATATATTTATTGTACGGCAGAAGTTCTTTCTTTATACAAGCATGACTGAAGACCAAAGGAAGCTTCTTATCAACAATTTTCTGGCTTTTTTTTTCAATGAGTCGAACGACAGTTCTTGCTGGCGCTGAGAGATAAAAAAGGTTGCCAAATGATATTGTGACAGAATACGACGTTTCATATATTCAAAATTCCTTTTAATGTACTTATAATTTTTACAACACCTAAATTTGGAACTTTTAAATAACATAAGTACCAAAAATGGGTGAATTGGATACAGATCGAAAATCAAAACTTGACAGTACTCGAAAAATAATTTCAAGCTCGGGGCACCGCATGATGCTGGTGCAGTCGTCGGGGCACCGCATGATGCTGGTGCAGGCGTCGGGGCACCGCATGATGCTGGTGCAGGCGTCGGGGCACCGCATGATGCTGGTGCAGGCGTCGGGGCATCGCATGATGATGCTGGTGTAGGCGTCGGGGCACCGCATGATGCTGGTGCAGGCGACATGTGAAGCGGTCGCTCAAAATTGTACCTGTTAAACCAGTATTTTTCAGGTTATGAAGATCTCCGCAACTTTTTTCTTTACCAGAAAATTTCGAAAATAAATTAGTCTTTTGTAGGAGTACCTGTATTGCTGGTCGGACTCAATCCAGTCCTACAGCTTTTCCTTAATTAATTAGTTATTTATAGGTGATATATATCTGAGTTCTCCTTGGATGCAACTTGCATAACTTTTTCTTTTTTTTCTGCATCGCTTGATGTAAATTAGACCAAAGATTCACATTACAAGCTGCTTAGTTTTGGTAGCTGTTGAAGTTGTATTATTATCTATCATAAATCATATCATATCATATAATATGATAAAAACATTTCCCTTTAAAAAATGTGTTATTAAAGTTAAAACATTTCCATCAAAAACTGGCAGCCAGAATAAAAATTTATTTATCATCTCCAATTACAATATTTATAATTAATTAGGTATTATCGGAGAGATAATTATAAACCTCCTAATCATTTGATTTCCTATTTCCCTTTTAATCATGAGTTAAGAATAAGATAAATGAAATTAACTTAAAGTTATGCTGAAAAAATTAATTGCGTATATATATTATTGCATCATGTTATTGCATCATTATCATTAGTTAGTATTGCATGCTTTATTTATTATTGCATCATCAAATTAATTGGCGGAACAAATATCAATCGCTATTTTACACGTCAGCAAGCAGTAAGAAACATGAGGAAAATACGCCGCATTGTTAAGGAAAACTACGAATAAAATGGTGAAATTGAAGGCAGAACAGGTTTCGCTAAACGTTTGGTTGCTTCCACAAGCACTTCATTGAGGTTAATGGATGCGAATTGAGATATTTTTTATTAAGAACAGGATTTACAGAAGTGGTCAAACCTGCGTCGCTGACAGCCATTAAACCGAACACTTCTTAACACCGCAATGACGAGTATATTTCCTATCTAAAAATTTAAAAGCTAAGAGAACGCCAAAAATAAATATCTAACTTAACGCTTTCTATGCCTCTGAATTTTTGGTGAACTTGTGATTGATGCCGACTAAAGTTATAAGTGACTCGTATCTGATATACGAAATGTTGCCAACAAATAAAATCAATTCAGAAAAATTTCAATTATTTCTCTTTCTCGCGCTATTCGTACAACGAAAAATTTTTTTTCTTATTCATTTATTGGAGAGATAAAAACTGAATGCAAAGGGAAGTCAATAAAGTGCTGCAAAAGCCCCATGCATTTCCAAACTTTGAGAAGAAAGATTTCTAGGAAAAATTCTCTAACGATTTAATTAACTGAACGTTTTCGTATGCAAAAGAACTGCTTTTCAGATAATATATTGAAATTATACGTTTCTGGGGTCGTAAGAGTTTGGCTTTAGTGGATGATTGAGCGGACTTGCGAGAGTGGTGACTAAAGTGAGTGGACTGGTGACTAAAGTGAGTGGACTGGTGACTAAAGTGAGTGGACTGGTGACTAAAGTGAGTGGACTGGTGATTAAGGTGAGTGGACTGGTTACTAAGGTGAGTGGACTGGTGGCTAAAGTGAGTGGACTGGTGACTGAAGCGAGTACAGAAGCACTCACTGCAGTCGTCTTGGGACCAGTTCTTTATTTACACTTTTGTGTACAGCATATAAGTATATATGGGTTGTGACTGCTCTTTGTAAAAATTGTTGCTGTTAAATTCATTATTAATCTTTGATCCAAAAGGGACAAGCCCACTGTTGTGTTTTTTTGTGAAGTGTAAACACTAATTGTCTCACTTTGCTAGACCAACTGGGTCAGAAGAAACTCCAGGCCCATGGCTCTTTTGTGAGGCACAGTGCAGGGCATGTCAATATTCACTAACCTTGGATGATATACATATACATATATTCTTCAGACAAACCTCTCCCATTATCATCTCATCTCGCATCGCATTATTTGTTCCGTCTATTAGCAGCGATTACTTAACATGTCTGCTCATGAAGTAGTATCTTATCTATGTTTTTAGCGCATTTTCTCACCTATGGAAAAAATGCCCTATTGTGCTCGTCATGTCCGTCTGTCTGTCCGTCCGTGACTTCACGTTTTCGCTCTCTGAGAAAAAAGAGTGACGAGAAAATGAGCTCTCTGTCACTAACTGCAGTGAGTACTGAGTTATATTTTTTTTGCCTTCAGTTGCGCGAGCTCTGAACACCACAATAATCCAGCCACGGGACTACCTTGGACGATTCTCTGGAGCTCCTTCACCTTCAGGGGCACAGCTTGTTCAAACATTGCCTCAGAAGGAGAAGCTGCTGATTAGGCCAAATTTCCTTCACCAAATTTCCAATTTCGGTGGTATTTGAAGCTCAAAAGTGGCGATTTCTGCAGTGAATATTGGCGTATAATATTAGGAAGCAAATTAAGGATAATATATATTTGAAGCGAATACGAATCCGTTGTCAACTCACAAGCATAGCAAATTTTGTTTTTTTAAGCAGGTAAATAATAAAAAAAACTTGTTATCAGAAAAACAGATTTATTTTTGCGCAATAGTTTATATTTATATTAATCGAAAAAATGTGTTAATAAGGTCATGGCGGTTAAAGCTCCCGCTTTAACCATATAAATATTTCAGGAGAACTAAAGCTTTAGTGCACATTATTGGTACCTACATATATTCCACCGACAGTGTGTGGTCCACAAATTTGGTCCATTGACTGTAAATGCGTTCATAAACAGACTAGATTTACTTAAATATATTTAAACTAGAAGGACCTTCCGATTCACAAATTGGCTAACTTTCAGTAGCTACTTAGCTTCAACGACAGTTTTGGATAGACATGGCCAAAAGGCCAACTTGGATTATTTTTCAACGCCGATGTTCCTATTAACATTATGAATAGCTAAGGGACATTCCAATTTTTTGTAAAATAATCGTAATGTGAAAAAGCAACACCGGCGTCTAGACTATTTATTTAGATGTTCTAAACTTGTACATTAAAAAGATGTCGGAGATTGTGTTTATAATTCTACTAACAGTCATATGCAAAATATAATACCAAACTAAATATTATGGAGCAGATGTGCATTATTTTGCGCAAATATTTTACTTAGGCTCGTCCGAGAGAAAAAAATTAAAACGATTTGTTTGAATTTATATCGATTGAGAATCCTAATTGAAACGGAGTATTTCGTCAGCTTTGACCGGTGACAGACATACCTGTGGTTGTACTTAAATTTGAAAGAAACAAAGAATTTTCATTCAAAGTAACGGTAATATTACTTGATACAATTGAAACATAAAGTGATAACTGATAAAAGGTTAACGATTGGAATCAAGAAGCTAGAAAGAACCTCTCTACTCTAGCAATGACGTCTAGAGAAGGCTATGACGCTCCCGGACCTCCCGCCAACTCCCAACAATCGGAGGGCAACT